TAACCTAGAATCTGCAAAACACCACATAACGTGGATGAACTTGGAGGACATTATGCTGAGTGAAATAAGTCAATCACAGAAGGACAAATATTGTAATAGTCTGTTACTGTAAAAGTCAAGGAAAGGTTTATCTATGGAAGGAAATTTTCTTTGTTGGTTACCAGAGGTCAGAGGGGAGAGTAGGGATTACTGTTAGATAGGTAGAGATAAGTATTGATTTGGGTGAATAGAAGGGCAATTTACCAAATGTGAGTGATCAACATGGTGACATTGAGAAAGAGGAAGACATAGAGAGGTACTTGGGAAGCACAGACAACAAAGATGACCCCTTTTGCACATAAAGTACTGTGTTGTCAGTGAAGGCAAACATGGGTATACAGGTGGATAGAGGGGTGGACAGGCTGAACTATTAGGTATGTGTGTGAAGCAGGGAGGGTACCCAAGACCATGTACAGGGTTGGCAGACAGTGGTCCTATAAGTATATGTGTATGATCTGAATTCCTAGGTGTATAATAGAGCTGACATGGGACAAGGTTGTTGTCACTTCTTGGTCACAGCCAGCTACCCAGAGGGACCAAATAGTTGAACCTGTGGGCTCAAGACCATAGTCACAGGGGACATCAAACTCAATTGGCATAACATACTACACAAAACATTGTTCCACCTCCTACTTTGGCAAGTAGCAGCTGGGATCTTAAAGGCTTGTGAGCATCTATCTAGATGCAAAGATGGGGCTCCCCTCATCCAGAGCAAGGAAGAACAAAGAAAACCAAAGATTCATGGAAACAATTAGTCCTAGCAACTGATACACCATGTGATCTGCAGCCTATATGACTATGAGACTAGAAGACCAAGATGGTGCCCGGCTACCACTGTCAGCCACTCAGAGGGGGATCTATGTAGGAGATCCTGGATGGAGAGGGAGAACGATGTGGAACAAAACTCAAAATCATTTGGAGAAAAAAAACAAAAGAGAGGGACCAGTTTTGCTGGTCTAATAGAGCCTGGTGGAACCACTGAGACTATGGCCCCTAACTGCCCTTCAGGTCTGGAATTGAACCCACACCTGTGGCTTCCAGCCAAACAAAAGACAGGTATATGAGTTGAACGTTTACCTGAGGTAGATACACTCCTTGGAGAGAGCAATCATGGGAGAAAGAAGGGCTGTGTATCCACAGGGAGACAGCTCAGGGGGCAGGAGTGCATAGAGGGATGGACACAGGGAAGAGGTAATTATTGGGAGGAAGTGGGAGGGGAGCTGTTGCATTGTGGTAAATTGTGGTCAATGTCATGAGGCAAAGTATATGTGAACTGCTGTATGGAAAGTGAATTTGCTCTGAAAATTTTCACTCAAATCACAATAAAAAAAAGAGAGAGAGAGATAGACCCTTAGTAGAACCTTTCAAACTAAGGAAGTCTGTCTCTACCCAAAAGTCAGCCAGCCTTGTGCTCAGTTATGAACTGTTAGAAACAGTTTCAGTAAAGGCAGAAAATAAGCAAAGTGCCTGCTAGCACTTCAGAAGGACTGGCCAGTTTAAAGGTAAAAACACTGAAGTAAAGGTATGAAGGGAGCTCTGGTGGCGTAGCGCCTAAGGTACTTGACTGCTAACAGAAGGCTAGTGGTTCAAACCCACCAGCCACTCCCCGGAAGGAAGGTTGGGCAATCTACTTCTGTAGTGATACTGCCTTGGAAACCCAAGGAGGGGTCGCTGTGAGTCAAGTCCGACTCCACAGCAACAGCTGCTGCTGCTGCAAAGGTATAAATACTGGAAAGGAGGTGGAGGCTAATTATTGTTATTTACAGATGATACAGTATTGTACATGGAACTAAAAACTATTAAAGATAAGGAGATTCAATAAAATGGCTGTTTACATTATTTAAAAAGAGAGAAAAATAAGGTCCCTGGGGTAGCACAGATGATCTGTACTTGCCTAGTAACCCACAGGTTGCCTGTTCAAACCCACACAGCAGCACGGAAGATCCAGATCTGTAAAGATTGCAGCCAACCTGACTCCAAAACCTGCGGAGTCTCTCCAAATGAGTACACAAACAAATCCCTCAACAAAAAGAGAGAAGAGGATAATGAATATTTATTGGGTTCTTTCCTCATCCCAGGAACATTTAATCTTTTACAAATCCTAGGAGCTAGGGACCATTTTTTCCCTTTTTTACAGATGAGGAAATTGAGGCTTAAAGAAGTTCAATAAATTAGCCACAGTCACATAGCAAGAAAATGGCTGGGCTGGCTCTGTCTGATCTCCAGGGCTATACTTTAACCACTGTTGTTCCATATGGTTGTGTTGCTTTGGGCAAGTCAGTTACCTTTGGAGACCATAGTTTCATCACCTCTTAAACATAGTGTGATTAATTAGATGGCCTTAGAGACCTGCAGCCCTGACACTGAGTGCAGATGTGTGCACGTGTGGAACAGGGCAGGGCGTACATAGGAACCAGACGTGCTTACTGTCCAAGGGATCCTTGAAGCTGGTGTTTGGTGCCAAGTAAGGTCATTTCCCCTCAACCTCCATGTTAGTCCTTATCTTGTTTAAATGCCAGCTGGCAACCATTGAAAAGAAACAATGAGGGTTTTCTTTGTTTATTGAATTTATAAATAGCTAACTTTCAGGGTGACTCAGCTAACGTGGTTGGACACACATACCTACAGGTCGCCTTTGGTTCTACTACCTTCTTGGAGGCTCAAGGGTAATCATCAGGGGACTTGTGCTTAACTTCCCCCTCTGCCCTGGGACAGGTAGACTGGATGGATGGGAGCAGATGAGGCAGGTGAACCAGAGAGCAGGAACTGCCAAGTGACCACTCTCCCCAGAGACTCCAAGCACAGAACAAACGTGTAAATCTTGTCCTTTCTTCTCCTTTCCCTCCATAGTGACCAATATCCCACTTGATGCGCACTGAACTTTTCTTCCTATCGAAAGTCAACCTCCCTTGGGATCTTGCTGTGCTAATGGTTGGTTCTATCTCCCTGCCCAGGTATGGAGAGAAGGGGAAAGCCATCCGGATTGAGAAGGTCATCTATACTGGGAAGGAGGGGAAGAGCTCACGTGGCTGCCCCATTGCAAAGTGGGTGAGTGTCAGGACCCCACAGCCAAGGCTGTGCTACTCTGTCTTCTGCTCCCTGCAACTCATTTGGCTGAGCAGGCTGCAGGCCAGGGATGGTGTGTGTGTAAGAACCAGGTGTGTTTACTGTCCTGGGGGTGGGACCCTTAGAGCTGCCATTTGGTTCTTGGCAGGGTCATTTCCCCCAACCTCAGCTCTTTGTCCTCATCTTGTCCAAATACAACCTCCAACATCCTGAGCTGGCCTTGGAACTGCATTTGTTAGTCATTATATTCAGCTCATACTGTTCCTGTGGTTCAGGGCAGTAGGGAAGGAGAGGGGGAAGCTAGTGATGCTGTCATTACCCAAAGTCAGGCCTGAACCCTTGGCCCCATTTGGGCCTCTTGATTCCTCTTCCCCCTTCATGTGTCCTGGAGCTGTCAGTGTTCATGTCTCCTGCCTGAAAGTCAGGAGAGAAACAGAAGGCAGGAATGTAGGGCCTCTGGCAGGGCTGGGGACCAGCCTGGCCACTGCCTCATTTCTGACCCACTGTTCACCTACAGGGTGGCCCGAGTGCCTCAGTAGGAGGGATGTAAATGACGCAAGTTCTGATCTTGCCTTTCCCACCCACAAAGAGATCCTGAGTAGCTGAGCACCTGCTTCTGCAGAGTAACAGAAGCTAACGAGTACCTCTTGTTTCCAGCACCACGCTAGGTGTGCAGCAGAGGAAGTGTGCATGGAATGGAAAGTTTTGTCCCTGTGGTCAAGCTGCTTATAATTTAGAGACCCATGACGTAAAATTGTGCAAGCCTCGAGTAAGTGAAGCTTAACTCTGAGAGGCAGACTTGATGTTGTAGTTCTGGGGCAAGGACATGAGTAGTGGGAGGAATATTCAGGCTAGGTATCCCAGAGAAGGTGGGACCTGCAGGGGGCCCTGAATACAGGTCATATTAAATGGGCTGAGTAGAAGCAGTCCTGGTGACTAGAATCATGTGGGCGAAGTTAAAGGGGCTGGGTGAACACACACTTGGCTGATTCTGAATGGCGGAAAGTGGCAAGATGTCTTTTATCAGCATGTGTCTGTCTGTGCACATGCCCTTTTTTATCTGGCATATACCCCATGCTTCTGCATCTTTGTGTTTAGTGAAAGTGAAAGGGGTCTGAACTTGAACTACCTCATATGTAATTTTAGCAGTTTTCAGTCTTTTACAGAATTATATTTAACAATAGAATCTGGAACTACTTAGAGCATTTGCAGGTATGAAAAAAAAAGCCTGTTGTCTGCACCCTGTGAGAGAGTCACTTCAGCGGGAATTTGACTGTGTTTATTGGTGTGGCGGACCAGGGCAGGGGTACTGTCTCCCCAGAGAACCCTTCAGGGAAATGACATCTGGCACACAGTGGCAGCTATCCCCTTTCTCCTTCTCATTGATGCAGTCATTTAGGAATCCCAAAGACTTGGGCAGGAAACTGAAAACTTTTGAGGTTCAGATAAAGTTAGAGACTTCTCCAGTTAAAGTTAAGGACTTCAGAAGTTGGCACAATAAGGAAAGAGAACAGCTAGCTAAGTGAATATGCATTTCTAGACCCTGGCTACAGAGGCAAGGCATTAGCTTTATTCATTTATTTACTTTACTGTGCTTTAGGTGAAAGTTTACAGAGCATATTAATTTCCCATTTGGTAGTTTGTACATAAAGCATTCCATGACGCTGGTTGCGTCCCCCACAATGTTTCAGTGCTCTCCTCGTTTCCGCGCTGGGTTCCTGTTCCCTTTCATCTGGCTTTTCTAACCCTTCTTGCTTTCTCATTTTTGTTTTTGGGCAGATGTTGTCCTTTTGATCTTGTATAATTAATTGTTGTAAGGAACCTTGGGTGTTATTGTTTATTTTGTGGGCCTATTGTTTGGCTGAAAGATGTCTGCAGGAATAAGCATTATTAACTCTTGAGCAGGGCCTATGTGTCTCTGCTGGGACCTGGAAAGGCACTAGCTGACCAGGAGGGAAGGAGGGCGGTGCTCAGAGTGTGAGAGCGTGAGGACAAGCTCTTCGTCCCTATGAGAGGGAAAGCAGCGAAGGTGGAAGCGGAGCTGGGCTTCAGCACACCGGCCTCTGATCTGTGGATGAAGGCCCAGAGCACATGCAGCACAGTGGACTCAAGATACATCTAAGCTGGGCTGTCACTGAGCCTGGTGGATGCTGTAACTTCGAAAGAAACGATTCTTGAAATGAATACATATAATATTAAAAAATAAACACACACCAATTAATATCATGTCAATTCCAACTCAAGGCAACCCCCTGTGTGTCAGAGTAGGACTGTGCTCCATAGGGTTTTCAGTGATCAATTTTTTGGAAGTAGATCACCAGGCCTTTCTTCTGAGGCACCTCTGGGTGGACTCAACCTCCAGCCTTTTGATTAGCAGCTGGGCATGTTAACCATTTACATCCCTCAGGACTCCTAACAAGTCAGAGGAAGGAATTTGGTACACTGGTTATTTGTTTGTTTCACGTGTCAACTTGGCTGTTGTTGTTGTTGTTGTTATGTGCCGTCGAGTTGGACCCGACTCATAGCAACCCCTCCTTGGGTTTCCAAGGCAGTATCACTATGGAAGTAGATTGCCCCATCTTCCTTCTGAGGAGTAGCTGGCCAGTTATTTAATCAAACACTAAGAATGCCAGGTCTGTCTTCCACACTGCCACTGGAGAGGCAGGTATTTGAAGGCCTGTTGGGGGTTTGGCAGAGAGGACTTATGTGGGAAACCCCAGGAGTTGGAGCTAATCACCATAGACATATTGTGGTTTTTGTTGAGTGTTGTGCTGCTATTGGGTTAGTGCTCAGGGAATACATGTCCCAGAAACTGGTTGAGATGATTACAGTTCTTTGAGGTTCTATGAGATATTTATGATTCTGTGAGATTCTGTGGTGGAATATGAACTATCTGTGTTTCTGTGCTTGGGTGTGGGTGTGTATGCCTTTCATTGACCTTTGTCTTAAGCACTTTTTTGCATTTCATCTTACTGGGTTCCTTCATAGGAGTGTGGGCAGAAAGTGCTTGTTTTCTTATAGTTTTTGAATGTACCCCTATAGACCTGTGAGGATGTGGCCCCAGAGCTTGCTTGTGCTTAGTCACATTTGTGTGTTTGCATTTGGGAGACCAAAAGGATGTAGCATAAATTGCAGCTATGACAAGTCGGGTCTGTGCATCTGGACACATGTCCCAGGAGTGTGATTAGCCGGTAAGCTGTCCCAGGCTCTGAGCAGAGGCTGATAGTAGAGCTTCGAGAGCCAGCCCTTATCACAGGAACCACTGTGGCATATTTCTACAGATGTGTGTTGATGTCCATGACACTCCCAGTCGGGGATAGGCAGGGAAGGGGGTGTGCACTCTGCCCCCGCAGAATCCTGTCGGGGAGCCATGCAGCCGCACAGGGAGTTCTAACACATTGTGGTAATTTAGTATCATATTCATGTTTTATTGATGCCCAAAGCACCATTTAACAAATCATGCAGTGGCCACACAGAACTCACAGACAATGCTCATGGTTATGGGGTTTATTAGGGAAGTAACAGGCTACAAGTCAGGTTCAGGAACGCTCTCAGAATACAATTCTTCGGTCAAGACCATAGCCCCTCTGTTATGCCCTCAGGCGGGAGCTCTGGTAGCATAGTGCCTAAGGCACTTGACTGCTATGCAGAAGGCTGGCAGTTCAAACCCACCAACCACTCCTCAGAAGGAAGATGGGGCAATCTACTTCTGTAGTCATATTGCCTTGAAACAACGACAGCATGCCCTCAGGCACACCTCTCTGACCCTTGGCCTTTCAGCCTGACCTCTGCCCTGCTTGGACAAATGTGTTACAAAGCTCTTTTAGCTCTGCTGATGGGGCACTGAGGGGCACCCCACTCTGCCAGCAAGGCTCCTGCCCAGAGGCACTCAGCTTTCCCATTCTGTGGGCTGCCAAGGCCACCACTCTGTCTCCTGCCTCTTGGTTCCACGGCCACCATCTCTCTGCCGGGGCATCTCTCAGCCAGGGCATCTCTGCCAAGGAGGTCCAGCACAGGGATCTTGGATCCAAGGACATGCTCCACTCCAACTCCAGCTCTTCTCTCTTGATGGCAGTGAAATTCCCTGCCCTGCCTCTATTGTTGTTGTTGTTATGTGCCTTCAAGTTGGACCCGACTCATAGCGACCCCTTCTTGGGTTTCTGAGGCAGTATCACTGCAGAAGTAGATTGCCCCATCTTCCTTCCGAGGAGTGCTTGGTGGGTTTGAACCGCCAGCCTTCTGATTAGCAGTCAAGTGCATTAAGTACTATGCTACCAGAGCTCCTTAGGACTCATTTATTAAGCCCAGAAGCATAGCAAAACTAACCAATGCTCACATTAGACACCTTATTGCATGGTCCTACCCAATAATCTGGTGGGAGTTACAAAGACTATGGCTAGAAAAGCCATACCAAGTAATTCACTGCACCACAATGTCATTGGTCTCCCAGCTTGTTTCCCTGTCACACCCTGTTCCGTGACACTTCACATAGGCCCCCGGCTTAGAATCCTTCTTGGAACCCAGCTGCAGAATTGAGTCCTTGCTTCTTAGCATGCCACTCAAAGCCCTTCCCAGTCTGCCCTGCTCGCCGTCCCACCCTCATCTCCCCCGTTACAGGCCCCCCAGATCTTATCAGTTCTTTGGGAGATTCAGCCACCTCACTCCTCAGCTCCTGGGACCCCCTACCATGGCTTTCTTGAGCCAGGATGCTGTTTGAGGAATGAGTGAATGAGTGAGGTGAGGACCTGAGTGAGGCAGTGGTGGGATCCTGAAGAGGTGAACCAATGCGGTACCCATTGTGCCCTTGCATATTAACTAAACACACACACACAGATATGCAGCATTTTCTCTGCACGTGTTTTAGGACAACTTTAATATCTCTGAATATAATGTTGTTGTTGTTGTTATGTGCCTT